GGGCATTCAGGCCACTTGCCACAACAGGGCCGACATGCCGTGAGCTCTGGGACAGGTTAAGACCTGCCAACAGGAGGGATGGCAGCTCACACTCACTTGGTCGGCTCCAGGGAGTCCCCCAGATTCTGCCCAGATGCTAAGACCTGAGCCACAGCCTCAGCATCCCCCTGCCAACCAGACCCCCACCCAGGCTCTAGGTTTCACAGTGGACCCACCTCCGGCCTGCCAGCCTAGAGAGGATACTGCGGAAGAGCTAGGCCTCACGCAGGACCCTAAGGTAAAAATAGGAAGAGGTGCTGGACAAAACGTCACAGACCTGGACTCCCAGCCCTTCGGGAGGCCCAAGGGCCCCTTGAACCCAAGGAGGAGGTCTAGTACAGAAGGAGCAGGGAGAGGCGGGAACCGGCAGAGCTAACCACGAGGAGCGAGGCCAGGGGACAGCAAGGAAACCAGGAGCTGAGGGGGCAGGGCCAGCCAGCCGATTGGCGTGGTCAGTGAGCTGAGGGCCATGGCCAGGAGCAGAGAGCAAGGCCCACCCAGCTCACCCGTGAGGGCGGAGGCTCTGCGGAGCCGTGGGAGTCGCTGAACACTGAGAGCGTCCCGGCAGCAGCTCAGGCTCGGAGGACGTCTCGGGAAGACGCGCAGCTCCGGTGGCCCATCCAGCAAGTGCTTCTAAAACCCTGGACAGGCACACCAGGCCAGAACTGACACTGAGAGCTGGGCGTGGTGGCTCGCCCCTGTAATCCCAGCACTTTGGGAGGCTGAGGAGGGAGGATTGCTTGAGATCAGTAGTTCAAGACCAGCCTGGGCAAAATGGCGAGACCTTGCCTCTACAAAAAATAAATAAAAAAATTAGCAGGATGTAGTGGTGCACACCTGCAGTCCCAACTAAGGAGGCTGAGGTGGGAGGATTGCATGAGCCCAGGAGCTCGAGGCTGCAGTGAGCTGTGATTGCACCACTACATTCCAGCCTGGGCAACAGAGCAAGATCCTGTCTCAAAAAAACAAACTGCTGGGTGTGGTGGCTCACACCTGTAATGCCAGCACTTTGGGAGGCTGAGGCGGGCAGATCACGAGGTTAGGAGATTGAGACCATCCTGGCTAACATGGTGAAACCCTGTCTCTACTAAAAATACAAAAATATTAGCCGGGCATGGTGGCAGGCACCTGTAATCTCAGTTATTCGGGAGGCTGAGGCAGGAGAATGGCGTGAACCTGGGAGGTGGAGCTTGCAGTGAGCCGAGATCGCGCCACTGCACTCCAGCCTGGGTGACAGAGTGAGACTCTGTCTCAAAAACAACAACAGAAACTGACGTTGAGCTGGGACTGCCATAGGGGTGGATGGCCACTAATGGCAGGTTTCCTGGCCTGCCACAGAGCCCATAGCGTGATCAGGGGTAGATGAATGCCCTTAGCTAGATTTCCCCGGGACAGGACATGACAGGTGGCCTAGAGATGGAAACCTCCTGGGGGCAGGTCAGATCTCTTCATACTATTCCTGTTTCCTCCTCCCCACCAGGGCAGACACACTAGAGGAGGGGGGCCAACCTGGCAAAGGGGCTGAGGTGGTGAGATCTGGGAGTGCCCTAGGGTAGGCACTAGTCCCTTCACATCCTGGAAGCCAGGGCCTCTGTCTTCGCTGAGACACAATTGGCCTACACATGGGCATGGGTATTTGGCCCCCAGATGTGGGGACAGCCTATGCGGGGACAGCCTCATGGCATCCTTGAGCCTTTCTTGGCACCGCTGGCTTCCCAATAAACTTCTTAGCCTGATGTTCAAGGTCCCCACTACCAAACCTTCCAAACACAGCTTCTTCATCAGCCTCTCCTGCTCTCCCACCACACCCCAGCCACGCTGGGCTTCAGTTCCTAGAACACACCCAACCTTGCCCATGGCAGGGCCTTTGTCATTGCTCTTCTCTCTGCTAAAATGCTCTTCTCTCAAGGGCAAGTCTTATTCCCACCACCTGTTTCCATCTGAGAAAGCTCTACTGGAGTAACACACCTGGCCTCTCGCCCACAGACCAAAGCTATGCTTTACTAAGTAGTTCATCAGGAATTGTGGCAAATTGTATTTTCAAAGAAGATAGCCTCATCAGTATCTCCAATTCCACATGCTCGTTGTACCATTGTGACCTTGACACTCCTGCCCTGGAGTGGTGGGATCTATGTCCCTCTTCCTTCAGCCTGGAGGTACCTTTGTGACAGCATTAAACAGCAGAATATGGTGAAAGTTGCTATGTGACTTCTGGATCATAAAAATGCCATGTGGGCCCAGGTGCGGTGGCTCACGCCTGTAATCCCAGCACTTTGGGAGGCTGAGGTGGGTGGATCATGAGATCAGGAGTTCAAGACCAGCCTGGCCAAAATGGTGAAACCCCGTCTCTACTAAAAATACAAAAAAACAAAATAGGCTCGACGCCGTGGCTCATTCCTGTAATCCTAGCACTTTGGGAGGCCGAGGCAGGTGGATCACCTGAGGTCAGGAGTTTGAGACCAGCCTGACCAACATGATGAAACCCTGTCTCTGCTAAAAATAAAAAAATTAGCCGGGCGTGGTGGTGGGCGCCTGTAACCTCAGCTACTCAGGAGCCTGAGGCAGGAAAATTGCTTGAACCCGGGAGGCAGAGCCGAGATCGCACCACTGCACTCCAGCCTGGGCGACAAGCAAGACTCTGTCTCGAAAAAAGAAAAAAAAATTAGCCAGGCATGGTGGCAGGCGCCTGTAATCCCAGCTACCTGGGAGGCTGAGGCAGAGAATTGCTTGAACCCGGGAGGCGGAGGTTGCAGTGAGCTGAGATTGTGTCACTGCACTCCAGCCTGGGCGACAGAACATGACTCCATCTCAAAAAAAAAAAAAGAAAAGAAAAGAAAAGAAAAAGCCACGTGGTTGGGACACTCTCCCTGGGAACCCAGCCATCATGCTATGAGGGAGCCAAGCCAGCCCAGGTGGAGAGACCATATGGAGAGGTCATGTGTAGATGTGCTGGCTCAAGGCCCTGCTGAGGTGCCAGCCTACAGCCAGCATCCACTTCCAGACATGTACAACTCCAAATGATTCCAGCCCCAGCCATCAAGGCCCTCGTAGCCATTGAGTCTTTCCAGCTGAGGCCCCAGACTTCATCGGGCAGAGACAAGTCATCCCTGCCGTGCCCTCTCTGACCTCCTGGCCCACAGAAACCATCAGCATCAGTTATTTTACGCACTAAACACCAGTTGGCTTGTCAAGCAGGAACAGTGACTGGAACAATAAGGAAGTGTTATTTTGATTTCAATATACCTGATTCCTCATCTGGCTGTCTGTTGTGTCAGAACTTGGACAAAGAAGAGGTTGTTATGTATTGACACCCAAACCCCAACCATTGTCCTTCAATTTGCAGCTCAAACATCATCTCAGAGAGACTTTCCCTAAGATCCCTATGCAGTTTAGATTTATTTTCTTTTTTTCTTTTTCTTTCTTTTTTTTTTTTTTAAAAAAAACAGGGTCTCTTGTGGTCACCCAGACTGGAGTGCAGTGGTGCACTCTCGACTCACTGCAGCCTCAACCTCCTGGGTTCAAGCAACCACGCCTGGCTAATATTTTTATTTTTATTTTTATTTTTAGTAGAGAAGGGGTTTCACCATATTAGCCAGGATGGTCTCGATCTCATGACCCCGCGATCTGCCCACCTTGGCCTCCCAAAGTGCTGGGATCACAGGTGTGAGCCACCGCGCCCGGCCTAAACCAGGTTTTTTTGTTTGTTTGTTTTTTCTTTGCAGACAGAGTCTCACTCTATGGCCCAGACTGGAGTGCAGTGGTGTGATCTCAGCTCATTGCAACCTCCGCCCCTGAGGCTCTAGTGATCCTCCCACCTCAACCTTCTGAGTAACCGGGACTACAGGTGTGAGCCCACCACACCCAGCTAACTTCTTGTATTTTTTTGCAGAGATGGTTTCACCATGTTGCCCAGACTGGTCTCAAACTCCTGCGCTCGAGTGATCCTCCCCGGCTCAGGCTCTCAAAGTGCTGGGATTACAGGTGTGAGCCACCATACCTGGCACCGGCAGTCTTTTTCAATCTGTGACAGTTCCTCAGTGTTTCCTTCTTTTTTGTGACCTTGACACTTTTGAAGAGTCCTATTCAGCTGCTTAGTAGAATGTCTTTCAAGTTGGATTTGTCTGAAATTTTCTTGTGATCAAATTGAAGTCATGAATTATGGGGAAAATGTCACAGAAGTGGTGTCATGCCTTCCTCAGTGCATCCTTGCAGAAGCACCTGATGTTGACATGTATGATGAATGATGTTAACCTTGATCAGTTATCTAGGGCAGTATCTACTGGACTTCTCCACTGTAAAATTATTATCTTAGGCCGGGCGCAATGGCTCACGCCTGTAATCCCAGTACTTTGGGAGGCCGAGGCGGGTGGATCACGAGGTCAGGAGTTCAAAACAAGCCTGGCCAACATGGTGAAACCTCGTCTCTACTAAAAATACAAAAATTAGCCGGGCATGGTGGTGTGCACTCATAATCCCAGCTACTCAGGAGGCTGACACAGGAGAATTGCTTGAACCCGGGAGGTGGAGGTTGTGGTAAGCCGAGATTGTGCCACTGCACTCCATCCTGGGTGATAAAGAGAGACTCCGTCTCAAAACAAAATTATTATTTTACTCTGTGTAGTTATTAAATGTATTTAGGGAGATACTTTGAAACCAGGAAAATATCCTTTTTCTGCTTGAAGTTTAACCCCTTGAATTGGGCATCCTTTGGTAGACCATTATCGTCACAGTCAGTGCTTAGTAAGTTACAGTCATGATGATGATAATGGTGATGATGACGATGACGATAATGATGAACTGGATCCCAGAAGAGCACCTGCCAGCCAGGTACCTGGAACTAGTGTTTCCTCTTGGAGCCTCACCTTTCTCATTCATAAAATGGGACAATCACGGATCTGACCTCACTGAGTTGTGGAAGTGTGTTGAACTGAGATACCGGCAGCAAAACACCCAGCACAGGATTTGACACATAGCAGGCATTTTGGGTTGGGAATGTCATTGCTAGGTGACTGAATTGTGCAGGGTGGGAGATGGCCGTGTGGGGCACCTGGGGGCTCTGGGTGGGAATGATCCTAAAGCAATCCCTGCAACTGTCAACAAGCAGGAGGAAGGTTGTCTCTGGAGGTCAGGAAGGGAGCCTGAGAGAGTTTCCAAACTAGACCAGCTTTCTGGAGGAGGTGAATTCAGACAAACAAGGCCTGGAAGACATCACCAGAAGTCATTTGTGCGAAGTCTGGAGGCTGGAACAGAGAAGAGAGGTCATGGCAGGTAGGCACTAACTGAGCCCTCATGCAACAATAGGTTTTGGTAACCAAAGCCACTCTCAGTACCCCCTTCCAGGACTGGGGACTAGGCTGCCAGGGGATGGCAGGTGCCTGAGTGCCCCTCTTCCCAATGCCAAGACATATGCAGGATTATCCCAGAAACTCTACCCAGCTGGATGCACAGAGTTGAACCCAAGTGTGGTGGGAATACATCTATTCATCCACTCTCTCATTTATTAAGCAAATATTTATTAAGCACCAACTATGTGCCAGGCTCTGGGCTGGACAGTGAGCACATGGCAGGGAACAAAGCAGTTCATGGAGCACCCATTCTAGAGGCAGAAAACATGGCAAGCAATCAAATAAACATGATGGCTCTGGCTACAACAAATTACCATAACAAATGCTCCGTAACAAATTACCCCAAAACTTAGTGGCTTCAAACAACAACCATTTTACTATATCTCACAGATTCTGTGAGTCAGGGATCAAGGTGGAGCATAGTTGAATAATTCTTCTGTTCCCTGTTTTTGTTTTTGGTTTTTTTTTGAGTTAGAGTCTCACTCTGTAGCCCAAGATGGAGTGCAGTGGCATGCGCTTGGCTCACTGCAACCTCCACCTTCCTGAGTTCAAGCAATTCTCTTACCTCAGCCTCCCAATTAGCTGGGATTACAGGCATGCACCAACATGCCTGGCTAATTTTTTTTTTTTTTTTAGATGGAGTTTTGCTCTTGTCACCCAGGCTGGAGTGCAGTGGCACGATCTCGACTCACTGCAACCTCCCCTTCCCGGGTTCAAGTGATTCTCCTGCCTCAGCCTCCTGAGTAGGTAGCTGGGATTACAGACGTCTGCCACCATGCCCGGCTAATTTTTTTGTATTTTTGCAGGTAAGAGCCACGTGCCCAGCCAGCTAAGTTTTTTTGTATTTTTAGTAGAGATGGGGTTTCACCATGTTGGCCAGGCTGGTCTCCAACTTCTGACCTCAGGTGTTCCACCCACCTCAGCCTCCCAAAGTGCTGCTATTAAAGGTGTGAGCCACCAGGGCCCGGCCCCGATCTCCTTTCAACCTGGTTTTTGTTGTTGTTATCACCATTCACATCTGTAATTGTCCTCTGGGCAAGGAACTGAATCTCTCTGAACATACTGCACTTAGAATAGCTTATTGTCCTAATGACAGTTTTTGTTTGTTTTTATAATTAGAGACAGGGTCTCATTATGTTACCCACTCCTGGGCTCAAGTGATTCTCTCGCCTCAGCCTCCAAAGTAGCTGGGACTACAGATGCACACTGGCACCCCTGGCTCAGTTTCTTTTCTTTTGTTTCTTTCTTTCTTTTTTTGAGACGGAGTCTTGCTCTGTCGCCCAGGCTGGAGTGCAGTGGAACGGGAGTGCAGTGGGAGATCACAGCTGACTGAAATCTCCACCTCCCGGGTTGAAGCAATTCTCATGCCTTAGCCTCCTGAGTAGCTGGAATTACAGGTGTGTGCCACCATGCCTGGCAAATTTTTGTATTTTCAGTAGAGATGGGGTTTCACCACGTTGGCCAAGCTAGTCTCAAACTCCTGTCCTCAAATGATCCGCCCATCTCAGTCTCGCAAAGTGCTGGGATTACAAGCCTGAGCCACTGCGTCCAGTCTTATTTTATTTCTTTTTCTTTTATTGTTCTTTCTTTCTTTTTTTTTTGAGACCAAGTTTCGTTCTTGTTGCCTAGGCTGGAGTGCAATGGTGCCATCTTAGCTCACCAAAACCTCTGCCTCTCGGGTTCAAGCGATTCTCCTGCCTCAGCCTCCCGAATAGCTGGGATTACAGGCATGTGCCACCACGCCCAGCTAAATTTTTTGTATTTTTTTTTAGTAGAGACGGGGTTTCTCCATGTTGGTCAGGCTGGTCTCAAACTCCCAACTATCAGGCCTCTGAGCCCAAGCCAAGCCATCGCATCCCCTGTGACTTGCACGTATATGCCCAGATGGCCTGAAGTAACCGAAGAATCACAAAAGAAGTGCAAATGCCCTGCCTCGCCTTAACCGATGACATTCCACCACAAAATAAGTGAAAATGGCCGGTCCTTGCCTTAAGCAATGATATTATCTTGTGAAATTCCTTTTCCTGGCTCAAAAAGCTCCCCCACTGAGCACCTTGTGACCCCCCCACTCCTGCCTGCCAGAGAACAACCCCCCTTTGACTGTAATTTTCCTTTACCTACCCAAATCCTATAAAACGGCCCCACCCTTATCTCCCTTCGCTGACTCTCTTTTCCGACTCAGCCTGCCTGCACCCAGGTGAAATAAACAGCCATGTTGCTCACACAAAGCCTGTTTGGTGGTCTCTTCACACAGACACGCATGACACCGACCTCAGGTGATCCACCTGCCTCGGCCTCCCAAAGTGCTGGGATTACAGGTGTGAGCCACTGCACCTGGCCATTTTATTTCTTAATGGCCTCAAATTTTTGACACTCTTCCTGTCAAAACGCGGGTGTATGTCTACTCCCCATGAACCTGAGAGGGCTTCTGTGACTGCTTGAACCAACAGATTACAGCGAAATGATGCTGTAATCCCAGCACTTTGGGAGGCCGCACCAGGTGCATCATTTGAGCCCGGGAGTTTGAGACCAGCCTGGGCAACATGATGAAACAAAAAATACAAAAATGAGCTAGGCATGGTGGCATACACCTGTAGTCCCAGTTACTTGGGAGGCTGGTGGGAGGATCACTTTAGCACTTTGACAGGCCCTAGTTGGAAGGACTGCTGGAGCCCAGGAGTTTGAGACCAGCCTGGACAACATGGTAAAACCCCATCTCCACTAAAAATAAAAAAACTAGCCAAGCATAGTGGCACATGCCTGTAATCCCAGCTACTCAGGAGGCTGAGGCAATAGAATTGCCTGAACTTGGGAGGCGGAGGTTGCAGTGAGCCAAGATCCTGCCACTACACTCTAGCTTGGGCAAGAGAGCAAGACTCCGTCTCAAAAAAAGTGGTAAGACCAGGCGCACTGGCTGACGTCTGTAATCCCAGCATTTTGGGAGGCCAAGGCAGGTGGGTCAATTGAGCCCAGAAGTTTGAGACCAGTCTGGGCAACATGACGAAACAAAAAATACAAAAATTAGCCGGGTGTGGTGGTACACACCTGTAGTCTCAGCTACTTGGGAGGCTGAGGTGGGAGGATCACTTGAGCCCAGGAGACAGAGGTTGCAGTGAGCCAAGACTGCACCACTGCACTCCAGCCTGGGCCACAGAGTGAGACTTTGTCTTTGGTGGGGTGGAGGGGAAGAGTTAGAGTTGGCAGGACTTGAAGATGTAATGAGTATGAATGTGTATTTGTCTTGGGGTGGTTTTCTTTTTTTTTTTCTTTTTCTTTTTTTTTTTTTTTTTTTCTCAACCTCAAACCCTGAAGTGAGACACATCTTTGAGTAAGTGGAAGGAAAAATTCGGTGCTTGAGACTTGAAAGATATAATATAAGTATAGATAATATGTTATCTTGGTGTTTCTTTTTGCTCTTTTTTTTTTTTTTTTGAAGTGTCGTCAGCTCTGGCCCAGGCTGGAATGCAGTGGCATAGTCTGGCTCACTGGCTCCATGTCTCGGGTTCACCATTCTCTGCCCTCAGCCTCCCAAGTAGCTGGGACTACAGGTGCCTGCCCAGCTGTTTTTGTATTTTTACCCAATAGAGACGAAGTTTCATCATGTTGAGGATGATCCGATCTCCTGACCTGGTGATCCACCGCGCCAGCTCCCAAAGTGCTGGGATTACAGGCGTAGTCATGCACAGTCAGGTGGTTTTTCAAAGAGCATCCTGGGTTTCTGGTTGCCAGTTCTTTTATTTTTTTTTTTTGTTTGTTGTTTTTGTTTTGATGAGTCTTGCTCTGTTGCCAGATGGATGCAGTACCGCTAAGATCTGATGTCTTCTCCTGTTTTTCTTCACCTTTCTCCTTCTTCCTTCTTCTTTTCTTTCTTCCTCCTCCTCCTTCTTCTTCCTTCTGCTTCTTCCTTCTTCTTCTTCTTTCTCTCTTTCTTTTCTTCTGCCTCTGGTTCAAACATTCTCTGCCTCAGCCTCATACAGTAGCTAGAATTGGGCTTTACTACGCCCAACTAATTTTTGTATTTTCGGTAGAGACAGGGTGGCACCATGGTGATCAGATAGAATCACAATGCCGTGATCACCCACCTCGGCCTCCAAAAGTGCTGAGATGACAGTGTAAACCAGCCTTCCCATTTAGTTCTGACTCAGCCTGAAGACAATTTTTGAGGGTCAAATATATCTTAATCTTCAAAATGAGAGGAAATATGTTCTCATGCCTCACTCCCAGAATCACTTCAAGTGTGACCTTAGCAAGAGGCCAGGTCTGGGGTTCCTGGGCTGATCTGAGCTCCAGAACTTTTCCTCATGTCTACAATGAGTGCACTGGGTTAAGCTGTATGTAGGGACCTCCCAGTTCTGATTATTCTGTTTGTCAATAGACTCCCAGTAAAACAGTGGCCCAGCATAATCCCAGCACTTTGGGAGGCTGAGGCGGAGCAGATCTGCAGTCCCAAGAAGATCGAGACCATCCTGGCTAACAGTTTGACTTAAGTCTATTAAAAAATGCAAAAAATTAGCTGGGCGTGTTAGCTGGGCACCTGTAGTCCCAGCTACTTGGGAGACTGGTAGGAAGATGGCATGACTCAGGAGGAGTGGAGCTTGCAGTGAGCAAAGACGCACCACGCACTCCAGCCTGGGCGACAGAGCAAGACTCCATCTCAACAACAATAAAATCCAACCTAGTAATGTTTAAATTGTGCATCCTAGGATGCAGCCATCCCTACTCCTTTTAACTGCAGATTCACTGGAATCATTGTTTCAAGGCGACCAGGCCAGCACTGTTGATAACAGCTAAGCCCATGAAACAATCCAAAGGTCCATCACAGGAGCTTGGGGCAATAAATCACATAATAGAATACTACAAAGTGGGCTGGCGCGGTGGCATCATGCCTGTAATCCCTGCATTGGGGGCAGAGGTGGCGGATGACCTGGTGAGTTCGAGACCAGCCCCACAGCCAGCAGAAACCTTGTCCTTACCAAAAACATAAAATTAGCCGGGCATGGTGGTGCACACCTGTATTAATCCCAGCTACTCAGGAGGCTGAGACAGGAGAACACTTTGAACCCAGGGGCAGAGGTTGCAGTGAGCAGATCACCATTGCACTCCAGGTTGGGCAACCACGAGCAAAACTCCATCTCAAAAAAAAAAAAAAAAAAAAAAAAGAGAGAATACTACAAAGTGGTGAAAATGAATGAATGAAGGCAAGAAATCAAACATGGATGACTCTCATATAATTCATGTTATGAAAAATTAGAGTTGCAGAAAATTGCATATAGTATGATTTTATTTATATAAAAGGCAAAACCAGGTAATATTAAGTAATACATTGTTTAAGGATGCATACTGGCACATATGTGGAAAAAAAAGAACAAGCAATCGATTAACACAAAGTTCTGGATAAGAGGTAAAATCTTATGGGGATTTTATCCTGAAGAGCACACAGGCTTCAAATGAACTAATATTCCATTTTAAGCAGGTAAGCTCAGTATTACTTAAGTGTGATATATATATAATAATATATATTATATATTTTATATATAATATATATTAAATATATATATATATTTGTTTGAGATGGAGTCTTTGTTGCTCAGGCAGGAGTGCAATGGTGCCATCTCAGCCTCCCAAAGTGCTGGGATTAAAGGTGTGAGCCACTGCACCCGCACCCGGCCGGTTTATTTCCCTCTTTTGCGCTGCAGACATGTGATATCTATACTGTGTAGAGTATGATACATTTCACAATTGAAAAAGAAATTTCCAAGATTAGGCCAGGCGTGATGCCTCACACCTGTAATCCCAGCACTTTGGGAGGCCAAGGTGGGTGGATCACCTGAGGTCAGGAGTTCAAGACCAGCCTGGCCAACATGGTGGCTTACATCTCTGCTAAATACAAAAAGTGAGAGCTGAGGTGTGGTGAGCCCAGATTGCGCCACTGCACTCCGAGCCTGGGTGAGTGAGCTCTGTCTCAAAACAAAACAAACAAACAAAAAACAACAAAAAAAAACTAGCCTGGGCACCGTGGCTCACGCCTGTAATCCCAGCACTTTGGGAGGCTGAGGCGGGCGGATGACCTGAGGTCGGGAGTTCGAGACCAGCCTGACCAGCATGGAGCCGTCTCTGCAAAATCACAAAATTAGGGGCGTGGTGGTGGGCGCCTGTAATCCTACCACTCTCGGGAGGCTGAGGCAGAGAATCGCTTGAGGCCAGGAGAGGGAGTTTGCAATGAGCTGGGAATCGCATACTGCACTCCAGCCTGGGCTACCAAAAAAAAAAGAAAGAAAAGAAAAAAATAAATTTCCAAGATTAGCCAGATCCCCTCCTTTAAAAGGGAGAATGAAATATGAGGGGAGTTGTCACAAGAAAGGAGAAGAGGAAAGAGGATGAGGGAATGGAAACATTATGGCAGAGGGCCCTGGGAGGCTGAACTCTCTTGTGGGCACAACTCTTCCTCTCTAATATGCTTTACAGCTCTGGCTGCAGTTCCCAAGGCGCCCACTAGAGGTCACCAGAGCATCCCAGCCTCGCCTCTCGCAGCAACCAGGCCGCCTTTCGCCCACGGTGGCGCAGCCCAGGCTCTGCTCGGGAGGGGCGCTGGTGGCCGGGGAAGACGGGAGCGGGCTTCCAGCGCCTGCGTTTGCAGCTGCATGGATGAGACCAGCTGCTCTGGACAGCGCTGGCCCGCCTCCCAGCTCTTCTCTGCCGCTTGATGGCACAGGGTCTCAAATATCCGGGCTGGACAGGGTGGCTCCGCCTGTAATCCCAGCCGGGGCGAGGCGGGAGGACTGTTTGAGCCCAGGGTTGAGGCCAGCCTAGGCAACCATGCAGGAGCCCCGTCTCTATTAAAACAACAACAGACGCGCGGTGGCTCACGCCTGTAATCCTCTGCTTTGGGAGGCCGAGGCGGGTGGATGACCTGAGGTCAGGAGTTGGAGACCATGTTGGCCAATATGGTGAAACCCCATCTCTACTAAAAATTCAAAAATTAGCCAGGCGTGGTGGCAGGTGCCTGTAATCCCAGGTACTCAGGAGGCAGAGGGTGCAGCGAGCCAAGATCACACCATTGCACTCCAGCTTGGGGAAAACTCCATCTCAAAAAATAAAGCCATAGGCAGGCGCGGTGGCTCACACCTGTAATCCCAGCACTTTGGGGAGTCCGACGGGGAAGTATTATGGGAGTCAACAGATGGAGACCATCCTGGCCAACATGATGAAACCCCGTCTCTACTAAAAATACAAAAAAGTAGCTGGGTAAATTGTTTCCACTGCCGTAATTCCAGCTACTGGGAAGCAGAACCCCGGGAGAATTGCTTGAACCCAGGAGGCAGAGGTTGCAGTGAGTCGGTCGCGCCACTCCAGCCTGGACAGAATGAGACTCCATCTCAAAAAAAAAAAAAAAAAAAAAAAAAAAAAAATAGCTGGGCGTGGTGGCAGGTGCCTGTAACCCCAGCTATGCCCAGGAAACTGAGGCAGGAGGTCGCTTGAACCCAGGAGGCGGGGATTGCAGTGAGCTGAGACGGCACCATTGCACTCCAGCCTGGGCAACAAGAAGGAAACTCCGTCTCAAAAATATATAAATAAATAAAATAAATCAATAAAATAAAATAATAAAATAACAAAACAAACCCAAGAAATGAACAGCACCCACAGACACGATTCTTCCTGTCTTCTACAGCTATTACCTTAAACTTAGAACTACTCTATCTCCTCTAAAGAAGGATCTAAATTCTCCCGGCCTCTAAAAAGAAAAAGAATACAACATTTGCAAATCTTTTCAAAACACACAGAAAATCATGTGAACACATGGCTGATACTCTTTCAGGTGAGAGGCTTGGGAGTTTAAGCTTCAGTAATTTCCAGGTAAATGCACCTCTGATTACACATATGCATATTTATCTGCATGTCCCACTAAGAATGTAAGTTCAAGACGGCAGAATTTGTATCTGAATTATTAACTCCTGGGGCCCTGTTCACAGTATATTGTAAGCTTTATAAACTATTTAGAACCAGTTGGGGCTAGTAGTTTTCCATTGAAATACAATGGCTAGCCTGAGGCTTGAGGTACAAGGTTGGGATGCTATCACTGAAACCTCAAAACAGTGAGTATAACACCCATTTAAAAGCTGGGAATGAGGCCAGGCGTGGTGGCTCACGCCTGTAATCCCAGCACTTCAGGAAGAGCACAGGCGGGCGGATCAAGGTCAGGAGGTTGAGACCATCCTGGGCAGCATAGTGAAACCCGTCTCTACTAAAAACACAAAAATTAGCTGGGCGTGGTGGCGCACACCTGTAATCCCAGCTAGTTGGGAAGCTAGAGGAGACAGGAGGAATTACTTGAACCTGGGAGGCAAGAGGGGTTATAGTAGAGCCGAAAGAGGGAATCATGCCACTGCCTCCCAGCCTAGCAACAGAGGGAGACTCCGTCTCAAAAACAAAACAAAACAAAACAAAGCTGGGGATGGCAGAGTGCAGTGGCTCATGCCTGTAATCCCAACAATTTGGGAGGCCGAGACACATGGATCACCTGAAGTCAGTAGTTACGAGACCAATCTGGCCAACATGCAGACAGTCTCTACTAAAAAATATACCCCAGAATTATTGAACCCAGGAGGAGGTTAACAGAGTGAGACTCATCTCAAAAAAAAAAAAAAATGTGAGATCCTGAGAGCCCAGGAGGTCAAACAGCTGCCCAGCCAGAAGTGGCACTGGGCCTAGAACCCACATTTGCACCCACCTCGCCCTGCCTTGCTCCCAGCCACTGTCCCCCTTAACTCCCCTTGCACAAGGCAGCAGTGCAACCTGGTACTGGCCTGGGAGCACCCTGCTTGGGAGAACCAGCTGACGTTGGAAGAGGATTTTGCGAGTTGCAACAGGAAAGCAGCACAGCCAGAGCGGGTCCAGGAGATAAGGGCACCTGTTCCCTGTGCTCCTCCTGGCCTTCTGGATTCCTCTCTTCCCTTCCTTTCCTGGAAGGCTGGCCGCCCGCCTGGACCCTGGCCCCAGCCTCACCCCAGCTCCTGGCCTGGCCCTGTGACTCACCTCCTTTCTTTCTGGCAGCTGTGCTGGGATGTGAGGCCTGCCTGCCACCAGGAAGGCCTGCTGTATGTGACCCTGGGCAGCAGGGAGCTCTCTCTGGCTGGTAGTTCCTGGTGCTCAATAAGAGTGACTGCTGGTCAGGTGTGGTGGCTCACGCCTGTAACCCCAGCTACTTTGGAGGTTGAGGCAGGCGGATCACCTGAGGTCAGGAGTTCAGCACGGCTGGGCAACATGGTGAAACCTCGTCTCTACTAAATGTGTAAAATTAGCCAGATGTCGTGAATTTACCGTCTGTAATTCCAGCTACTCAGAAGGCAGAGGCAGGGAATTGCTTGAACTGGCGAAGTAGGAGGTTGCAGTGAGCCAAGATCACACCATTGCACTCCAGCCTGGGGGACAGAGTGAGACTCCGTCTCACACTAAAAAAAAAGCTGGGCATGGTGGCTCTTTCTAATCCCAGCACTTTGGGAGGCTAGAGGCAGGTGGATCACCTGAGGTCAGGAGTTTGAGAGAGCAGCCTGGCCAACATAGTGCAAGCCGTCTCTACTAAAAATACAAAAATTAGCTGGGTGTGGTGATGCCTGTAATCCCAGCTTCTTGGGAAAGCTGAGGCAGAAGGAATTACTTGCAACTGGGAAGTGGAGTTTAATGGTGAGGTGTAACCCATTGCACTCCCAGTCTGGGTAACAGAGAAAGCTCTGTCTTTAAAAAAAAAAAAAAAAAAAAAATTTCCCCAATGTGGGTTGCAAAAGTTGTGAAATGTGTATATTTCTTGCATTTATCTGATGTATGCTTTTAAAACAAATAAACATAATGACCAGGTATTATTTCAGTTGGAAATAGGATGAAAGGCTTTATCAACTGAATGTGCTGTAGAATATAGGCCCCTCCTCGCCTGATTTAAGACAAGTCTAATTTCTGAAAGTCTCAAGTAATATTGCAATACCACAGCCTTGACGATCACCACTTGCTGATACCTCATTTGTCATCAAGTGAACCTCAAACAAACCCCAGTGGCTCAATCTGCAATCTCAGCTCTTTGGGAAGCTGAGGCAGGCAGATCCTTGAGGTCAGGAGTTTGAGACCAGCCTGGCCAACATGGTGGCTCTTTTCTGTTCCTAATTATTGGGCATGCGTGGCACTTGCCTGTAATCTGGTCAGTTCGGAGGCTGAGGCAGGACCGCTTGAACCTGGGAGGGTGGGGCTGCAGTGAGCCAAGATGGTGCCACTGCACCCCAGCCTGGGGAATAGAGGAAGACTCTATCTCAAGAAAAACAAACAAAAAAACATAAAAAAAAAGTGGATATAGCAGTGAGCCCCACACCTGGGCAGACTGTTGAGACAATCCACTCAAAACCACGTTATTTACCTTTTTACTGTGAGCCTGTGCTATGCTTTTTAGGTGCATTAACAGTTCAATTAGTGCTTTGAGGCCCAGGTTCTGAAGTATTTCCAAAAGAAAGAAACTCCGTGACAGTCAAATGATGAACATCACTTGCCACAGTTGACCTTGGTTCTACCTGCCTCCCTAAAATGTTAGCCTACTACTCTTTGGTAGTGGTGGTTGTTATTGTTATTAAAATAAATATGATGATATTTTGGCCTCGTTAAAGTTCTGTGATTAAATGAATGGATATTGCTAAAGAGTTTGGTAAATTTTCTTTCAGCCAGCTCTCCGTATTTCTTAAATAATATTAACATTACATCCAGAGCGAGAGTTCAGTGCTCAAAAACTGTAGTCCTGGGGATTCTCGGCATCTTCCACCCAGCTCACCAACAAATCCTGTCCAGGAGAGGTTAAGAGGTTGTGATTTCCAAGGCAGGGTTTTGTGTCTTACACAGTGGCCCTCTGTCCCTCATAAATTTGAGCCTCTTATGCAACGCGGCATGCCGGTCCCAGAGCCCGGCTGCAGCTGCGAGGCGGAGGGAGCAGGAGCGGGGCGGCGCTGTTTGTCTGGCGGCGGTGCCAAGGGCTGCGGGCCTGGCATGACCTCAGCCTGAGATGCTCAGGTTAAATGGCTCCGCATTCTCGGGCCCAGCTGATTTGACGCTCCCAGGCACGCCGAGCCGGCCTCAGATGGGCTGGGCCTGGGCTCCAAAGGGAAAGAGGGGAGCGTGGAATCCAGAGTGTGCCTGAATGGCGGGGAGGTGTGAGCTCATGTAACCCTTCCTCCTCGGAAAGCCCTGCATGTCGGGGGTGTGAAGAAGAACCTGTACGTTCGATCGGTGGGCTGCAGGCCAGGGCCCCTGCGTGAGAGGGAGTATTTTTTGCGATGTGCCTCAAGGGCCTCCAAGGATGCACAAGCGACAATTAATCATGATAATATATAACTATACAACATTGTTAGCCACTACGATACTAGCGTTTTAACCACTTACTTGTTTATTCTTTTCTTTCCGTGAGGTTAGTACTATTGATACAGCAGCCGGTGGAGAGGGGAATAGTAAGAACATGAATTCGCTTTAATGCTGTGTTTGATGAAGCCATAAACTGCTTGTGGAGGGGGTATAACTGGCTTAACGGTCAGTGCTCAAAGAATCATAATCTTTCATTTGATTTTTGTTCATCCGTCTGTGAGCTTGTGTCTTCTGCTGTAAAACTGGGACCACAATCCTGCCTTTAGCCCAGAATATCGAGAGCCATTTTTGCCAAAGGGTTGGAGTTAGGCAAACCAAGCTTCAGTGCTAGGGGCTATTTATTTTGTCTGTAACTATTGACAAAATGTATGAACCAACTTTAACTTTCTGGGACAGTTCTTTGCCATTCCCGGGACTCAGTTTTCTCCATATGTAACACATGGGGATTTACCTGCATCTATTCTTGAGGTTGGTGCCCCAGGACTTAATGATAGCCCAGGAGTTGCCACGTGAACTTTTGAGGAAGGATTTGCCCAAACATAGCTGTCACATGCTCCAGACAGAGGCCCAGGAATGCCAACCAATCTATAAATTAATTACACACCACAGAAACCCAGTGTGGTTCTGCAGCCCCCCAGTTCATTTAAACCCATCCATCATCCCCAGACCCATGCAGAGATGCCCACAATGCGCCAGGCAGAACACTGGCCAAACAGTTGGGTTTCACACTTATCATAGAACACATGCTGCTCTGTGCACATGTGCACACAGCCGGAGCATGCCCTAGCACCCCCAGGCCTATGTGAACAGTTGGCCCATCACCACTGTGGAGTAGCAGAGATCAGCTTACTCCTGTTACATACACAGGAGTAGACACTATACTACCTTCCTGAGTAGAAATCCACATATTACATGTCGAGCAGATAGGCATTGCCAATGACATATTTATCCTGCTCAGGAGCTGGGAATGAGATTCCACTCCTCAGTCCTACCCAGGAGCCCTGGGGTTGGGGAGATTTGTTTGAGCTGCCAACAGAGCCAGGCCAGGGTGATGCGGCTGAGTCTGGACCTAGAGCAGGTGTCCCAGCAGCTGTGCCCAACCTGGCCCTGCCAACTTGCTCACCCACTTGGATGAGCCAGGAGCCCCAGGGCAGCCTGCTGGAACCCAGAGGTAGGCTGTTGGGGAAGCACCTCCTACTGGGAATGGGGTGATAGAATCACCTCTCACAAGCTATGGCCCTAAGCAAGTCCTTTTCCACTGGGTCTCATTTTATCCATCCTTCGCAGGAAGTGGGTGGTCCAGCGACCACATTCTCATTGTGGCTTGCTCAGGCCTTCCAACACAGAGGGCCCTGGCAGGTTCATCTGCATTTCAGCAACCTCCCAGGTGATCAGATGGCTAATGATCACCTTGAGAAACCCAGAGATCTAGAGTATTTAGTTTTATAACACTGGGAGCAGGAAATGGCCGGGGATGGTGGGGGGAAGAACAGACTGAGGCACACCAAGCACTCCTTCAGGCCGGTAAGAGCAGCAAATCCAGATGTAGCCACTCAGTTCTCCTCCCAGAACCAGCTGTGAAGAGGGTCCAGGGAGTCAACCCTCAGCCGAGAGACCCTCCCCACTCATCAAGAAGTCACTGCCTTTACCACCATCTAAATTATTTGTTTAATAACAAAACGGCCCACATAACTATTGTAAAACAATGACCTAAATTCAGTGATCATTGTAATATACAATACAAAGCAATTTCCTCAGAAATCTGAGAAGCACCAAAACTGTGACCATTTTTAAAAATGTCTGCTTTTCAAATAGAAACACTGGTGAATCCCACCCCTAAAGTCTCCGGTGACTAGTAGGTGTGGAGAGGTCGCCCTCTCCTCTCCAGTCCCTCAGCCCTAGGCTGGACCTGTAAGGGCACGGTGGCCGCCGATCTGCTCGGGTCGCCCCAGATCCGGCGAGGCGTTGGGGAGACCACAGAGCGCAATTCCTCTTGCCCTGGATGGCTGGTGCACCGATCCCTGGGAATGCGCTTCCAGCGACACAAGATACGATCGTCCGTAGGAACGCATGCCGCCTGTGAAAACGAAAGAAGAGGTGAGACCGGAGCGTTAGGGGGACGCCGCTCCGAGGCGCAGCGGACCTTGCTCCCCCAGGAGTACACGACGGAAGCGCTTTTCCAGGCTCATGGGCACCCCGCATAGCCAGCTACCCGCAAACATGGGACGGAACTGGTGCAAGCGCCCACACCTCTCATGGCCTCAGTTTCCCCCGTCATTATCAAGGATAATCTAGTGGTCGGATCTGGATCTCACCTCGGCCGTCAGGGCTGATCTCGCCCGTTGAGGGTGCTTAGTGAGCCCGGACCGGCAGCCCTCGGCCCCCGGTCCCGGCTGGATTCGAATTCAGCTCCAACCTGCGAGTCCTGATGTAGTCGATGACGTGCTGGAGGATCTCCCTTGCTCACCTTGCGGTTCTGGGGCAGGAATTGGGCACCAGCTCCTTGAGGCGTGAGTAGCAGCCGTTCATATGTAGGCAGCACGTTCACCTGCTGCTCATCCAAGAAGGCAAGCGGGCGCCAGCGCCCCGGCGCAGCGCAGGGTGGCCACGCTCTGCTCGGACAGGCAGCGCACCACCTCGCCCGCACCGCCCGCTGTCTTACCCGGCCTTCAGCGCGCAGCTGGGGCCTGCGGCGGCGGTGTGCCACTGGCTACTCATGATTCCCGGCGACTGGCTGAAACGGACTGGGCAAGCGAACGGAGAAGGCGG